GGAGCTCGGGGGGGGGAATCTGTGGTGGGCAGCCTCCACTAGATCATGGACCTCTTTCCACATGACCTGGTGTGGCTTTGGGTGTCGTTTCCTCCTCTTTCTTTTCTTTGTCTCTGACAGGGTCATGCAAGCCATCTTTTTTGTGGGCGGGGAGGTGTTGGACATTTCTGGCTGGAACCCAGATAGGCTTTGGTTGATCTTGTGGGAAAACACAAGCAAATCCCCTGTCCCTTTCCAGATGTCATCAAGGGGGTACCTCCATTTAGCCATGATGTGTGGTATGGGGTGTGTCTGGGCCCAGTGTCAGGTGATGGGGGGAGTCAGACCCTCGATATACATTAAGTACATTAAGGATAAACAAGGCTAATCTTAATTGAATATTGGGGGGAATATGTTGTTTGAGCCTGTCTTTTCAGTTGGTCTTTTAAGATTTTATGTGACCTTTCCACGATGGCTTGTCCTTGTGGGTTGTATGGGATGCCAGTGTGATGGGTGATTTTCCAGGCTTCACAAAATTTTTTAAATGAGGAACTGGTAAATGCTGGGCCATTATCCATCTTTAGTTGTGCAGGGAGGCCCATGATGGCAATGGATGAGAACATGTGATTTATTAGATTTTTTGAACTTTCACCAGTTTGGGCAGTAGCCCAAAGGAAGTGGGAGTAAGTGTCTACAGTTACAAATACATATTTTTGTCTGCCGAATTGGGGCACATGGGTTGCATCGAATTGCCAGAAGGCATTAGATTTTAGCCCCTGAGGATTGGTGCCCATTTGTTGTATAGCAGGGGTATGTATCATTGATGCACAGGAAGAGCAGGTTTTAACAATGTGTTTAAGTTGTCTGAGTGGAATGTGGGGGAATCTGAGATGGAGCCCTTGTAAATTAATGTGGGTGGCATGGTGGAGGTTCTGGGCATCTATTACGCTGGCAGAGAATGTTACAGTGGTGGCTACCTCATCTGCTATGGCATTTCCTTCAGTAAGAGGCCCTGGGAGGGAAGAGCGGGACCTGATATGCTGGACAAATAATGGAGCCACCCGTTTTTGTAACAGTGTAGAAATTTTAATTAGCAGGGGTGAGAGAGGGTTGCCATCTATTTTGACAAAGGAACGACCTAGCCATGGGAGCAAATTAACAGCATAAATGCTGTCAGAATAAAGGTTGAAGGGTTTATCAACCTTATCAAGGGCCATATAGATGGCAAAAAGCTCTTTAAATTGTGGAGATTTATCAGATAGAGTTTGAAAATATATCATAGGTGGGTCATTAGGGGAGTCATATATGACCAATGCTGCCCTCTTTTTTCCCCCATCTGTAAAGGCTGTAGTAGTATTTTCTATGACTGGGGTGTTCCATGGCCTCCTGTAGGGCCTAATGTGACCCAGCTGTAACTGTTCTTCTACAAGTTGTTGTAAAATGAGTAATTTCTCCCTGGGCAATGGGTACTGTTCCACCCAGACTGGTTCCTTGGTGATCCAGTTGAGGCAGGGAGTCTGGTAATCAACAGTGGCCTTTAGGATTGGGGGTTCTTTTGTTTTAGGAACCTCATATGATCATCTATTTTAAGGCATTCTCCTTCAGACCCACTGGCAAGAACTACATTGAGGTCTTCCAGGATATCTCGTCCTATGAGATTTGTGGCTATATCTGCAATAGGGGTCTTATTGTGCCAACCTCTCCATGAGGATCCTCCAATTTATAGAAGTTTTTAGTGATGAATGCTCAGGAGGGGCCCCCTACTCCCATCAGTTGGGGTCCTGGTATTAATTCCCAGTGTGGGGAAACCTCAGAGCACCTTAAGATGGTTTTATCAGCCCCAGTGTCAAGGAGGCATTTGAAAGGTTTATTGTCTATTTTTATGGCTAATTTTGGATGGGTATTTTTTGTAATACTGGTTATCTATAATTTTTGTGGCTTCCCTTTTGTTAGTGGGGCTGAGGGTTGCCCCGGAAGGAGTTTAAAGGTGGCAAAGGTTTGCCATCTCTGTCATATTTAGATTTACAATCTCTTTTCCAGTGAAAGCCCCTTGTACAGCGAGGACAGAGGGTTTTAGGGGGTTGAGTGGCAGCCAAGCCATTTTGGGGGCAATTTTCTTTCCAGTGTC